CCGCCCCCGCCAACGTCCAGAAGTGGATGGAGGCTTGTGAGAACTTGGCACCCTTCAGCTCTGTTAGGAAGCTGCTAACGTAAGCCTGTACTTTTCATAATGCTGTAATTTTAACCTTATTCCACCTCCTGCCTGCTGTAGCGGTCTGAGTCCCTTCTGAGATGTATTCAAGTACTACAGCTGGACAGAACTCTACAATCAATAAAACTATTGGAGCTACCTTTTGGGTGTGACTTCCATTTTTTCTACCTGATGCATAAAATGCATGTTTTTTAAATGATTATAAGGTATGTAAACACAAGCTGCAATTTTTTGTTCTTCCTTCTATTTTTCCATGTAGCCCAAATACTTATTTATGCAAGTTTAACTGTACTGAGGCTGAAGTGCAACATGAATCCTTTCTGTTGACTGGAGACTTCTGAACTAAGAGAAAAAGATTAATACCTTTAAAGAACAAACAGGAAAATAAAAATGTGTTTAAATATTTATGTAAAAAAAGAAACATTGTATGTAGCTTGGCATAGGACAGAGGTTAGTTCTGCCTGTATTTAAACAGGAGAACCTAGTTTCTTATTTTCACCTCGTGCTTCAGAAAGCAATCTTATTGTCTCTCTCAGTTTCTCTATTTCTTCTTCTTGCTGTCTCACCTTCTGTTGTAGGTTAGAAATAACCTGAAAATGAGAGTCAGTTTACTTCATTGATAGACAGGCAAGGAAAAACCTTATTCAACCTATTTGATTTATGCCATGTTCTGCAGCACCACAGCTATTCTGCATACTTGATACTACAATTTAATCCACAACAAAAAGTGTGGCAAAGAAGAGGAATACGATAAGTAGATTCTGCAGAGCTGATGAAAAGCTTCAAAAGCTTTTCTGACCTATAAAAATACTTCAAGCTGTATATAAATCAACTGTCCATTCTTCATGTATCTCATTGCAAAGACCCCAGAAACAATACAGTGGCCTAAATACTGTAATTGGGGGAAGAAAAAGTCACAATCACACAATCCTCTTAAGTTAAAAAAACGTAATTCAGGCAGGGAAACAAAGGGCATTTTCTTTCTGTATTTCTTTATCCTGTAAAGGTTGAGGTTATTGGCATAACTTACATGTTCTGTGGTATGAAATAGTTCACTTTCACGAAGCTGAGCAGCAGTTGGTCTTTCTGTACATCTCTGACTGGTGAGCAGTTTAACATACTTGGCCTGAATAGGCCATTTTTTGCAGAAAGTCTGAGGAATCTGGCCACTTCTTAAATGTGTAAGAACTTCTGCTCGTTCCATTTCTGTTCCAAATGGCTGGAAGAGTTCTAGCAGGATAACACCCACGCTGTACATGTCTGACTGATAATGAGGTGAAGAAAAAGTTCTAGGATAACTGCTATTTTTAATTACTTAGTAGATTTCTTTGTCTCATTAAAAATGCATGACGTGGAAGTTTCATGACAATGAAGTTTCATGATGATGCAAAAAGTATGACACTGCTAAAGCAACATTCAAGTCTATAGATACTCCTCAGGATGATCTTAGAAACACAATTCTTACATTATTGGCAAACTGGAATGCAGACTTGAAACCCATGCTTCAAAAAAACAAATAAATATTCCTCCTACTGTTATTCCTACTATTTACCAAGTATTATGCATTTACCTTCTGAAAGCCTTTTTTTATATCTATTACCTATAACCATGTGTTAATTGAAAAAAACAAAATACTCCCTACCTTGAAATCATAGTGAGATCCCTGCAATTGTTCTGGTGAAGCATACAGGCAAGTCCCCACTCCTGAAGTGTGTATCAGTTCTTTAAAAAAAGTAATTTAGACTTACTCAGCTAGTGTCACATTGTTAAAATATCACTGAATTTAATCTTTAATGCTTTTAATAGAGAACCTTAAACACTGAAGCCCATTAAGCTTTCTTCTCTTACCGTTTATCCTTTCTGTCTTAAACCAGGGGTCTGCATTTTCCCAAAGTAGGTCTTTGCAGGCTAATCCAAAGTCTCCTATTTTTACATGATGGTCTGATCCATGTAGAAAAATATTTCTGGGCTACAAAAAAAGTAAAAAACTCAATCTAGATAAAGAATTATGACACTTCAGCTCTTTTGAAGCCTATAAAATCTAGTGTTTCATAGGTATAATTATCTAACACTTTAATTAATGAGAGAGAAAAAAAATAGCCATAGCTGATACCAAATTATGTGTTAGCAACACTGTCTGGGCAGAAAGACCACATTTCAAGGACCTAGAAAAAAGGAAAAGCAAAAGGACATACTTCACAGGAAGATAAAGGTGTTGTGTTTTTTTTTTTTTTTTTCCTCTTTTTTCTCTTGTTTTTGTTGTTGTTTTGTTTGTTTGTTTGTTTTTTATCAGAAAATGGGAAATTTGCAGAACAGGCAAGTGTGGACAGCAAAACAGACCAACTG